AGTCTAGGACAGGGGTGGGCAAACTTTTTGACTTGAGGGCCACAATGGGTTCTTAAACTGGACCGGAGGGCCGGAACAAAAGCATGGATGGAGTGTTTGTGTGAACTAATATAAATTCAAAGTAAACATCATTACATAAAAGGGTACGGCCTTTTTTTTTTTAGTTTTATTCATTTCAAACGGGCCGGATCCGGCCCGCGGGCCGTAGTTTGCCCACGGCTGCTCTAGAATCTGATTGATTTTAACGTCAGGCTGTGCCTCTTAGCTCAGGTAAGTGACTTCTAGGATTGACAGATAAAAACAGGACACCCAGTTAAATTTGTATTTGAGATAAACAACAATACATTTTTGGTATGTGTGGCCCATGCAATCATTATGGCACACTTATAACAAAATATTATCTTGTTATAATATTTCAAGAAGTTAAAATGTAAGTTGTTGCTTATACATTTTTGGTATAAGTGTGCCCTATGCAATCATGGCACACTTATAACAAAATATTATCTGTTGTTTATCTGAAATTTCTTATTTAACTGGGCACCTGTGCATTTTACTTGCTTAAATATGACATCCCTAGTGGGTCCTGGCCCCGTAGCTCAGTTGGTTAGAGTGTGGTCCCATAAGCCAAGGTTGCAGGTTCTATCCCCAGTCAGGGCACATACAAGAAGCAACCAATGAATGCACAAATAAGTGGAACAACAAAGCTCTCTCTCTCTCTCTCTCTCTCAAATCAATAAATAAAATTTAAAAAAATGGCAACCATAGTGACTTCTCTCTTATCTGTTACTAGGAAATGGGATAATCTTGCCCATATTAAACCCTTAATTCACCTTCCAAATCAGGATACTTTAGTAAGATATATATATCAAACCTCCAGGACAAATGGGCCCGGTGCAATCCAAACATGGCTTTCTAAAGAGTGCAGAAAAAGTTCAGTAAGACTCTCAATGAAGGTGAAAACTGCTTTGAGAGATTTGCAAATTTACCTTCAAAGTAATCATACAACTGTGCTTAAGCAATGCGGCACCAGGCAGAAAAGGATGGGCTGCGACTCTGCGCACGCGCACCAGAGCGCCCACAGCCACACCGGGCCCCGCCCACCGGGGTCACGCGGGGGAGGAGCGGCCTGGTCTTGTCACGTGACCCGGACTCCCGTTCGCCCCGGGATGGAGTCGGAGGAGGGGACGCCGCTG